TGGGGTCCGTGTGCGACACTCCGCCTTTGAAGGGGTTGCACCTTCTGCAGACGAAGCAGTGGGTCTATTTATATCCCCCCGACCCACTGGGGGTGTACAGGAATGTGAAGTCCCCTGAAACAGTAGCTGAAGAAAAGAGACTTTGCTCTCAATTCAGACCCATTGTTTGCAACTCTGTGACATCTCAGAGAAAATGACGGATAATCATGTCCAAAATTCAATAGATTCAATGCCCAAAGGGTTCGCGCCTTCAACAAATTATCAATAAGCACATTTAATGTTTAGTCCAAGTTTAGCGTGATATTCGTGACTGCTCCGTTTTCGGTTTCATATGAAAGTATTGTAATAAAATGTAGTTATAAAATATTGTTTATTGCCGTGTCAAAATTTTCCATTAATTGGATATGTAATGTATGCTCATTTTATCAATATTGATGCTCCTCAATACACGCAAAGACAATTTTATGTTCCTTTGATTTTGCACAAATTTTGCCAAGCCTGATTTTTTAAAGTCAATTTTAGCGACCGTAACTCAGGCGACCCTTAACAGAGATATGTGGCTGATAATGCAGAATTCATTTAGCTTTAATTTAGTATGCAGCATGAGTGAGTACCACAAGGCTTTAACATGATGATTGGGTGAATAAATTTTCAAGTTTCTTTTGGATGCCACTGTACAACATTTACCTGTGGATTTGAAAATCTTAATAACAAAACTGAAAAGCATTGGTACTCACAGTCTGGGACCTTTTTCATCTACACCAGCAAACAGTAACGCAACTCCAAATGGTCGACTCTGAAACATGCAGGAGAGAGTTGGCATTTAAGTTGCAGTCCAACCTGAGTCACCACAATAATAGCAGTTACATTTCACAAGGGACACATTATGTTAATGAAAATGATGAATAAAATCAACTATTCACACAGGTCAGTCAATTCCATTCAAATGTTTTAAAACACCAGAGAGCAATACAGTGGAACTTGGATTCAACGAGCTCGGATTCAACGAGAACTCGAATTCAACAAGAGGAGATTGATTCCCCGTTTTTTTCCTTCTTCAAAATCAATAAAAATAACCTGGATTTAATGAGCACTTAAATCAGCAAGCTCGGATTCAACGAGGTCGCTTCCAGGGTGAACACCAGAGAGTTTACAGTAATACTAGAGAGACGGCACTTCGCCCGGATGCGCGTATCTGGGTCACCAGCTGATCGTGGAGAAACGCGCGGTAAACAAAACAAACTGCGTCCATTGTTCAAGGCATTTACGTTGAT